ACAGATTCCTAGGTGATAACTGTAGACAGGCGGGATATATTTAGAGGAAGTGGGTTACTAGGGATGTGCCTTGGGGATCGTGTATTTTGCCCCATCTGCTTGTGAGCTCTCTCTTTGCTTCCCCCACTGCCATGAGCTGGGCAGCTTTCCTCTACTATGCTTTCCACCACAATGTTCTGCCTCATCTCTGACCCAGAGCAATGGAATCCACTAACCATGGTGTGACCCTCTGAAACAGTGAGTCCAAATAAACTTTTCCTCTTCTAAATTGTTCTGATATACTATTTTGGTCACACTGATGAAAACCTAACCAACACAGACTATTATAATACATTATTGTTTATTTAAGATGTTTCTTTGGAATGCTACCTTTATTATTTTTAATTTTTTATATTATTTTTCCCCAGAGGTTTTAGGTTCCAGGGAGTTAACTCCTGAAGTTGGATAAAATGGCCCTTGATCTGCCCTTTCCTTTTTTTTTTTTTTGAAAAACTCTCAAAGGAAATTAGATAACAACAAACCTTCTTTGTTAATGTCCCCCAAACACAATTCACTATAAAAAGGACAATGCAAGATATGCCAGATGCATTTGGGTTTCATCCAAAAAAAGTTTGGATGAAGTACAAGTCGAAGCACCAGTTCTTCCTTAAGCTGGCCTCTCCTTAAAAGCTTTCAAAACAAAGTTGACAACAGAGTTACAATGGAGCAGGGCTATAGTACCTGCATCATTTAAGAGAGAATTTCAATATAAGCAAGAAACTAAATAGTTGTCCTTTTGATAATAGTTTTTTTTCTCAATCCATATATATTTATATTATTGATTGAATCCAATGTTCTTCAAAGACACCTTGGATATATACTGATTAAAAGCAATATATATTGATACATGGATATGTCCCTGGTAACAAGACTAGGCGGTGAGTTTTTTATTTGACAAAAATACTTGCTATTTTGCCCAGCCTGAGCTTAAACTCCTGGGTACAAGTGATTCTCTTATCTCAGCCTTCCAAGTCCCTGGGACTACAGATGTAGGCCACTACTCCTAACAAAGTGATAAATTTTTTAATATGTTGCAAAGACACGTGTCTCTATTGTCAATTCAGGAATAATCTATACTCTTGAAAATACCAATAATGAAAAAGATTGGTTGTTCAGGAAAAGTAATTTCTGTGTGTAGAACCTAAGGATAAGAGACCTACAGAATTAACTTTATTAAATGTATAGTGTGGCTAAAATACAGGCAAGGTATTGCTCTAGCCTTTCTTTAAAAAATATAACATCAATTTGTAATTTCATTTTCAGTTATGTTCTTTAGAAAATATATTGCAGAAATTCACACAGGATCTATAGCCTCCCGCCCCGCCCCCCCCGAAAAAAAAACCTGATATATTTGCCAAAAGGTGTTAGAAATGGTAAGGATTTAGTTGCAGCATTTACTTATGTATTTATGTGCACAAATACATATAAGCTTACACAGATACTTCTTACTGTTCCATTATCTGAAACTGTATAATAAACTACCAGAAAATTCAGTGACCTAACAACAGCCACTTTGTAACATTTTACTGTTCTGTGGGTCAGGACTTTGAGAAGGGCTCTGCTGGCTGGTTCCTGTGTTCTATGTAGGGTCAATGGAGGTCACAGCCAAGGTATTCAGCTGATGGATAGATTGGCCTGGAGGATTCAATAAAAAATGACTAGACTCCATGAGGGGATGCTGCAAAGTAGGGCTCAGCTGGGACAGGTGACTAGAGGACACATGCACCCAGTAGCCTTTTTATTGTGGTAGTCTCAAGGTAGTTGAACTTACATGTCAGCTCAGGGATATCACAGTGAATATTAAAAAACAAAACAAACAACAACAACCACAACAACAAAAACCACTGGAAAATGTAGGTTCCTTATGGTTTAACTTTGAAAATCTCAGAATTTCACATTTTCCAGATTCTAATTTTCAAGCAAGTCCCTGAGGTCAGCCCCAATTCAAGAGTTAGAGATAAGACTATGTTATGGTTTGAATGTGAGGTGGTCCCCAAAAGCTCAAGTGGGAGACGATGTGAGAAAGTTCAGAGGAGAAATGATCTGGTCACGAGATCCTTAATCCCATCAGTGAACTAGTCCCTTGATGGGTTTAACTGGGTGGGAATTGCAGGTGGGTAGGGTTTGGCTGGAGGAGGTGGGCCATTGGGAGTGTGGCTTTGGGTTATATATTTTGGATCTAATGAATAGAGTCCTTTTCTTTGCCACTGATCATTATGTGAGCTGCTTCACTCTGCCAGTCTTCCCCATGATGTTCTGCCTCATCTCAAGCTCCAAGGAATGGAGCTTGCTGTCTATGGACTGGGACCTCTGAAACTAAACTTCTCCTTTACAATTGTTCTGGTCAGGTCTTTTAGTAGTAGTGGTGGAAAAAGCTGATTCAAACACGATCTTAACGAGAGAACAAAGAAAGTATGGTTGTCTTCAATCCACGTACACCTACGACCAACCGAGACAGCACCAATAACTCCCTAAACTCTCTTTGTTACAGGCCCTGGAATGCTTTAGGCTGGGTGGATAGCATTTACTTTTACAGGGTGTTCTGGTCCTCTGCAGATGGAAGATGAATCAAATTCCCAACTTTTAGTGTTGGATTCATATGTTTTGCAGCTGTCACACATTTTCTTCACTAAGCTATTGTCAACCTAAATAACAATCAGAGAGAAATTGTCCAAAGAATAATGATATTTATTTGGGAATAGCAGAGCATTGCAATGGGAGTCTGATGCCATAGTGAGCTATGGGTATATTTAAGAAAGTTGAGCAAGGGGAAGTTATTAAAGGCAAAAAGGGAGGAAATTTACATAAGATAGAGTTAATTGGCCTTGGCAATGGGAGGAAGGAGTTGCTATTAGTTCATAGGGCGAAGTACTGTTTCTGGGAAAGTATTCTGCCAGGTTTATCTTGTTTGTATTGTTGCAGTCTTACAGAACTTTAAACTTTATTACAAAAATCTGTTATAGTGAGAGAGACGTGTAAAGCACTTAGTTTCTGTAGAACTCTCCTGTGAGCCTTAGAAAGCCCTTGAGAAAGTATTTATCTCAATCAAGCAAGGACTCTGCACCTTCATTGCTTCCTGGCTCTAATTTTGTCTGGGTCTGATGAAAGCAATTTCAGTATACATCATCAACTTTCATACCATATGACCAAAAAGCCTTTTCATGTGTCATGTGTCTACTTATTAGTTTTAGAACTTTTCCCAGTAAATAAGACTATAAAAGGTCAGAACTGGAAGTCACTTGGGAGATAGAAATCTGGTCCCATTTCATAGATGAAGGACTGTCATTGTGATGCTTAAAGAGAGCAATCCTGACTTAACTGGGTGATGGATGACCTATTCCTGATCTTCTTCCCTTAGAAATAGCCCATCTCCCTTGATTTGGCATCCTGTTCTCCATGAAGCATTTAAAAAGAAACCATCCATTCCAAGTACAACTGTCCAATCGTATTTATGTACAATTTCTGGTCCAATTCAACAATGTTTACTGACTGCCTACCAAGATTGACTGTAGTCCAAGGCACTGGGCTATAGTTGAACCAGTACTTTAGAGACACACACAGAAGGCTCTGACTCCTAGAGGCTTTCCTTTCCCTACTAATTAGAAAATCAGGGTACAAATTCTATTATAGTCATTTTTCTCTGGATGACTTATTTGATGATGTTGTTTATCTTTAATATTTCTTAATGTGGTTCCCACTCCTCCTTTCTTTTATAGAACAGAGCACTGAGCTAAAGATTCTTCCCTTTTAATCAGCCTATTTGTTCTAAGGAGGCATTTTATCTACACAAAGCATGGATTTGGAGGAGGTGTTGGGGTAACACTATCAGAGATCAATGTGCTGGTCCATTATTGCTCTTTTTGTTTCAAAAGACGTTTGCTTTTTAGATGAGGTGACATCCTTATTTAGATCACAGGGATTCTAGGTGACTGCTCTAAGGGCAGTCATAGTTGCTTGGTCTTCCTGTTTATGTGGTGCCCAGTCACCATTAGCTTTTTGTCTTCTTCTGCTGCAGCTCACTTATCTTCCTCTTGGCCCAGAGGGAGAGGAGGTGGGGGGTATGGACAGGACCCACCAGCTGACAGTGACACCCCCTTGACATAACTTCCAGCCCTTGACTCTCAGAACCCAGAGGGATCACTCTCCTGCTCAGCTAGAAGGTGGTTCCCTCCATGGTGGTTCCTGGCCCCAGGTGGGGAAAGGGAGCCCCAGACCCCTAAGCGCTCCAGGCAACGCCAAAGGCCAAACGGTGACAGGCCTTCCAGAGTGGGGAGTGGAAGTGAGGCGCTTCACCCAGGATCAGGAAAGACGGCCGGGCCTGGGAGTGGCAGTGCGCTCCCCCGGCTCTGGGCCGACACTGGCTCCCGCCGGTGGGGAGGAGAAGGAACCAGATGGGCGGGTTCGAGCGTGTGCGGCGGCGGTCCTGGGGCCGCCGGCTCCTCCCCGCGAG